CCCCCCCAAAATAAATAAATAATTAAACAAAGAGTAAAAACAATCCATTATGAAAAAGACAAATAATAAAAGAAAAATAAAGTCTTGAAAAAATAAAATAAAATATGGGCGAAATAAAAGTGACGTCAACCAGTTCTTCAAAGTGCATACAGACAACAGCGCCGGGTTTGGGGGGAGGTGGCTCTACAACAGCCGTCCCTTGCAGAGGGGTGCCCTCACGCTCCGATACAACGAACACACGTTCTACTGAGCGCACTCGGTAGAACGGCGGGGACCGCACAGGCCCGCGGCCTCCCCCCGCCCTGCACGCTCGCTCCCGGTCTCCGAACCGAGCGCCCCGCCAGCCGTCCTTACCCCGCCCCCACCCCCACCCCCACCCCCACCCCCGACGCCGGATCCGACCCGCCCAGTCCGGCCCAGGCGCCGGCCGCGTGGACCCCGCGCCTGCACGCACCTGCGGCCTCCCGCCTACCTCCGGCTGCGCTCCGGAGGCCCCGCCACGATGCGGCTCCGCCCGCGCGCCCGCCGACGGAAGCGCCCTCTCCGGCGTGTGCAGAGGCCGCCCGGGGCGGCCCGGGGTCCTGGAGAAGAGCCTGAGGCGGGCCAGCCCCCAGCCGGGACCCCCTGGAGAAGCGCTTCCTGGGTGACGAGGTGACCCCAGCGGGAAGATGGCGGCCCCCAGCCGGGACCCCCTGGAGAAGCGCTTCCTGGGTGACGAGGTGACCCCAGCGGGAAGATGGCGGCCCGCACTCCAGCCCCGGCCCGGAGCTCTCAGAGAGGCTCCCTCTCAAGCCGTCGAAGCCGTCGAAGCCCAGCAGCCTTTGTGGGGCCCTGTGGGGTCCCCTCGGTGCCCCCCGCGGCCCCCTGGTGCCAGGGCTTCTCCCGAAGCCTCTCCGGGCAGCCACCGGGCAGCTTTTCAGCCATGCTTTCCCCCACCATCGACCTCATGGGAACAAGTGATTTTGCAGGGAGAAAAGCAGCAGCTGACAGGCCTTCTGAAACACGACTTAGTTACCGATACAGAGAATATTAAAGGCTATAAGAGAACACAAGGGACAACTTTTTAACTTTATGTTTTTTCCTTGAACATTTTAAGCAGGAGTTATTTCAAAGTCCTGGTCTGTTCTCTGTGGGTCCTGTGGATCTTCTTTACTGTTTATCGTTTTTTATCTGCCTTCCCTTGTCTCTTCATGTGCCTAGTTCTTTTTTCATTGGGTGCTATCAGCATTGCATATCAACAATTATAAAAATAAGCTGAGCTCTAGGATTATGAGAGTCTCTCCCAAAAGAGCTTCTGTGTGCTCTGCCAGCCTACTGTGGCGCTAACAGTCTTGTGTCCTCTTAATGCAGTCGGGGCAGTAGAGGATTCATACCTAGACCTCAGAAACTTCTGGTTTTGCCTAAAATGAATAAACCCCACTCTCTATCTTTACTTCAAATCATGTAACAACTTTTTAAATGGTGAGTTTTCTTTGGGGGTGGGGGGAGAGATTGTTTTGTCTTGTTTTGATTTTTCTCCTCGGATCCCCTACTTTAGACTCTGGGGCAAGCCCAGACCTGGAACTGTAACAGCATGTCAGCAGAATTGCTGCAAGAGAAGCCTGTATTTTCTAGTCAGAGGACCAGGTGGGGGCTGTGAATTTGAAGGGAATCTCCCACTTTTTTCTTTTATTAATCTTCTGACCCTGCTCTGTGGCAAGTCATAAAGCTGCAACTCTTGCAACAAAGCAGTAGTGGTGAGCTTGCAGGCCCCTAAAACCCACAGAAAATCCTTTTCTGTTACATTAGAACTGGGAAAAGGAGTCCCTGTGATTTAAACAGTGTTGAAGGAATGAATCTCTATTCATTGTTTTCTCTCTCTACCTTTTGCTCCCGAACCAGACCCAGCAATGGAAAATATGCAACAACATTGAAAACACAATACTACTTTCTAACTCCAGCTTTCTCAGGACCATGAAAAGGCCCTCTTGAGACCTAGGAAATATTGGAAAAATTATAGAAAAGAAACAGAGAAATGGATCCCCTGAATCTGTGTATGAAGCCACTTCTGAGCATTTCATGGATGACTAGGATCCTGACTCTGGTAGTATAGCAAAAACAATAATACATTGTGATCAGATAGGATATATCCCAGGAATGTAAATAGATTAATTAATTACCTGATCAAATGAGGGAAAAAAACTATATGATAATCTCAAAGGAATAGCATTTGATAAAGCTAAAACCATACCCTGATCCTTTTTTTTAATGTTTGTTTATTTTTGAGAGACAGAGCAAGAGCAGGGAAGGAGCAAAGAGAAAGGGGGACAGAGGATCCTGAGCAGGCTCTGCGCCAACAGCAGTGAGCCCGACGTGGGGCTTGAACTCACAAACCATGAGATCATGAGCTGAGCTGAAGTCAGACACTCAACCAGCTGAGCCACCCAGGTGCCCCCATATCATGATTCTTTTAATTAACAAATTCAAAATAGGAACTTTTTTTCCTCGATAAAAGTTACCTACATCAAATATCATATCTAATGGGGAAACTATGAAAGTATTCTCAGTAAAGTAAGAAAAAGTTAAAAGATGCCCTCTATTATCACTGCTAATCATCCTATTATTGAAGAATGTAGCCAATGCAACATGAATAAAAAGAACATAAACTATGCAAATCTGAATGGAGAAATAAAACATCACTCTCTGCGTAATATGCTATTGTCCTTCTAGAAATTCCAAAGCAACTACTGACTTCTGGAACTGAGAAGAGCTTAGAAATGTGGCTATAATGGATATAAACATCATATTTATAGCAATATTAATTTTTAGTAGAAAAATATTCTGTCCATAATAGCAAAAGAGCTATGAAATATATAGAAATAGCTCTAATGAGAAATATATGAAACCCTTTAAATCGAACTGTGAATTTCACTGAAGAATATTTTTTTTAAGTAGACTAAGAAGTTTGGAAGAATACACCAAGTACATGGTTGAAAATATTTTGCCTTGTTCAGTGTTAGCGCCTTTTAAAATTAGTTTATAACTCAATGTAATTAGAATAACAATCTCAATGGACTTTTTATTAAATTGAAAAAATCGATTCTGAATTTCATATGGAACAGTTAATGTGAAGAAATAGCTAAGACAATTTTGACTTCTAGCAAGAGAGCCAGCCTTGGTTATTCACTTGCGAGCATTTCACCTTATCTCCTCTCTCTAGAAGGGACAAGGATGCTTCTGTTCATAGTTTTTAGCAAGAATGTATTGATGTGTTGTTTTTTATTTTAAAATCAAATATTGTTTTTTTAAAAAGTAAATGAGTGAGGAATGAGAAAGGGAAAGATGAAAAGAGAATTAGTAAAAAAGATTAAAATTAGGTCTTATCTCTTATTCTTGCCTCTCTCATCCCCAACACAGACATGCTCTGATCCACGTGTGGGGCATTAAACTCCTCGCAGGCTACCTTACATAGAGATGGTGCTCCATTCTAGTAATCAGACTCAACCTGCATGGCACAGTCACAAGTTATAGTTGATCTAGAATCTACCATGTAAGGGTACTTCATGTGCACTACTTCTACTTTTTCACTACCCTCTGAGGTACATAACAGTATCCCCATTTTTAGATTAGAAACTATGGCTCCAGGAAATTAATTTATTTTTCATAGGTCAAACAGCCCGTAAATGGCTGAGTCAGGATTAATACCTAACTCTGACTGTAGCGAAAGCCAGAGCTTTTTCCACTATGCACTGCTGCCTCTCTTCTGAGGAAGAAGCCGTGGAAAGAATTCCTCTGGCACCTCTCAGGGAATAGGATACTGTGCACTAGGAAGATTCTCTAGCCAAGGTCTTGGTGCCTGTGATGATTCATATTTAGATCATGTTCCTTGAGAGTAGGGAAAGATATCTGAAAGCAGCTGCTTTTAGAATCTTGAGTTGTGAAGTAAGTTCTCAGGGAAACCATCCAATGATATTGTAGGAAATCTCAGAGGTCATAGGAGCTGTTTGTTCCTGCCCATGGCTAACACGTTAACCCTTGCTGAAAGTTTCCTTCCTCTTCCAGCCATAATAGTGAAGGCCAAAGTGTTCGTCATTAAATAATCATAAGGGGCTCCTGAGTGGCTCATTTGGTTAAGCATCTGACTCTGGCTCAGGTCATGATCTCACAGTTTGTGAGTTTGAGCCTTGCGTCCAGCTCAGAGCCTGGAGCCTGCTTCAAACTCTGTTATCCTTTCTCTCTCTGCCCCTCTTCTGCTAGTGCTCTGTCTGTCTCTGCCTCTGAAAAAAAACATTTAAAAAAATGTTTTAATCTTAAGATTGTAACAGAGTGTGCAGGCTCCTGGTGCCAGCACACCAAGCCCACTCTTTCAGAGTTAACTGCACTATTAGAAAGCTTAATTTAAGTAGAGGGGACTGGACATCTAGCCAGGATGAAATACCACTGTATTTTATGACCTATAGCAACACAGACTTGGTCATGGGTAGCCACACAATCACATACTTTCAGTTGTTGTATACGTATAGAATGAGATCTACTCTTTGGGCCACAGCTTAAAGGAACCAGATTTTGCCTACCCCCCCACCCCCCATCTGAGAGCTATGAAGAGAGATTTCACTTGAAAACTCCAATTATTTGGAGTTGCCAGTTGAAAAATGGGGCCTAAGCATCCGGGCATCTGGCTTCTGGCCCCAGAGTTACAACTAACAAATCAGGAATTGCTGCTTAACTTTTCTAAGCATGGTTCCCTGCTGTAAATTTCACTACTGAACCAAGTATCTTTGAAATTCTCTCTAGCTGAAACATTCCAGAAATTTTACTGGAAGTCTGGTAGTGAAGAGATATTTATTCCCTAGGTTTAAAATTAGCCCCAAATTATTGTGGGGGAATCTCTCCTGCCACTCTATGGGAGCTTGTGCCGAGGTCACGTGGTGTAGTTTAAGTATACTGGGTGCTGCCCAATGTGAAGCCTTCATTTGAGATGCTTCTAATCTCTTTTTTCTTTTTCTTTTTTTTAGAAACTTCATTTTTCATCAACCTTATTTCCATTTTGTTTGCCTTTGTGGAAGAGCGGCTGAAGACCACTCACTTTACCAAAGAGTTCCAACAGCCTCAGAGAAGCTCCAGCCAAACAAAATTTGAATAGATTTCTCCCTTCCCAGAAAATAGAAGACTTTACAATGAAGTGCTATAATCAGTTGTAAGTAAAATAGTATAGTAACATTTAACAATTCATATTTCAGGACTGAGTTCTTTTTGATTAGCACCCAGATAGAAAAAGACCTCTGATACCTTTTTTCAAGCCATCGTATCAATTCTTTAGAAGAGCATTTACCAGCTTTGAATTGCAAATAAAAAATAGGACTTAGCAAAATACGTGCCTTGCTATCAGCTACTACTGCACTCTTTTCTCCCATAAGAGATAACTCTTTCATTCTCATCTGTATAGATGAGTGGCCACGGGCTTTGTACACCTAGGAATGAAGATGAGGCTTACTTTGCCTTCTCATTGTAAATAGAAAATTTGGGGGGTTGACTTGCAGATGAAATACAGCCTCAGCCAATAGTCATCATAATCATTATGGTATCAGAATAAGCATATTTGGGACACCGAAAATACCAGAAGAAGAGGGAAGAGAAAAGAGAACACTTTATGGCTCAGTGGCTAATCATAAATATTAAATGTCAATATGATTTTTCCTATGTGATATTCAAAAAGAACTGGTCCAAAACCACTGTTAAAGTGAGTGACATATGGTGTAATGCATAACGTATCTCAGGTTGGCAGTCTCTGCTATTGCACATGACTGTCTCTCATTTCCAAAATCAAGGTTTGGCATTATTATCACATGTGATTCAAAATCAGATCTTACAAGTTTAGTTTCTGATCCGACTATTGTTAGTCTGTGATCCGAATATGACCCCAGTCATTCTGACAAGGTGGAGATGGTAGTGGTGATACACAAAAACAACCTTGTAGTATCATTCTACTCACAGGGAAATCTCAAGAGACTTTTTTAAGTTTATTTATTTACTGTGGTGCCTGGGTGGCTCTGTTGGTTAAGCATCCGATTGTAGCTCAGGTCATGATCTCGCTGTTTGTGGGTTCAAGCCCCATGTCAGGCTCTGTGCTGACAGCTCAGAGCCTGGAGCCTGCTTTGGATCCTGTGTCTTCCTCTCTCTCTCTGCCCCTCCCCTGCTCATGCTCTGTCTCTCTCTTTCTCTCTCTCTCTTTCAAAACTAAGCATAAAAAATTTATGCACTATCTGCAGTATCAGTGCAGAGCACGACATGGGACTCAAACCCAGAAACCATGAAATCATGACCTGAGCTGAAGTAGATCAGGACACTTAACCGACTGAGACACCCAGGCACCCCTCAAAAGTGACTTTAAGATACAATGAATGTTGGGGCGCCTGGGTGGCTTAGTCGGTTAAGCGTCCGACTTTGGCTTAGGTCATGATCTCGCGGTTCGTGGGTTCGAGCCCCGCGTCGGGCTCTGTGCTGACTGCCAGCTCAGAGCCTGGAGCCTGTTTCAGTCTGTGACTCCCTCTCTCTCTGACCCTCCCCTGTTCATGCTGTCTCTCTCTCTCCTAGAAATAAATAAAACTTTAAAAAAAAAAAAAAGATACAATGAATGTCTTGTTTTTCTGGGTGAGATAGAAAATTCAACAAGGATACAGCAAAAGACAGGGGCAGTTCTCGTGTTAGATGATCAGATAATCACCATGAAACCTCTGAATACCTGAAAAGGTTGCATCTGGAAGACAAATGACCTCAGGACTTGACGGGATGTGTGTGGGTGGGTGGTGGATATCACTTTGCATGTCACTGTAGACCCAGCATGCATTGAAAATAGGCTTTTTTCCCTCCATGGCCTTTTTGAGCCTGTGTCAGAGGAATATAAAGTCTGTAAGTGGTTGCAAGAGAAGCAATTCTCAGGTGGATTGAGGTCAGACTGTTTTGGCTGGAGCCTGTGAAATCTGCCTCCTGACCAGTGTCATATCATGCAGACCCTGAATGGAGCGGCCGCTGCTGAGAAAACTCATTTTCACTTTACCTACCCACAGAGAAAGTAACAAAATTCTGCATTTTTAAAACCTAGGGTCTAAAGTGAAGACTTCTTTCTTCTGATGTTCTATCCTTGGGTGCAACCTCACTGCCAGGGAGAAGGTGAGGATCAAATGGGGAACATATTTTGGAAAGATCTATTGATGTTTATGTTTCTAAAGCTATCAAAATTTGAGCGAGAGTTCCAACATTATCTTCGAGAATGTTTCAAAATAGAACTGTTGCATGCAAGCTAACAAACTACATAACCTCAGGTTTAAAATACTAGCCTTTTTTCTTTTCATTCTCTCTCTCTCTCTCTTTTTTTTTTTTTTTGGAGGAAGAGAGAGTGCAAGAGGGGGAGGAGGTGGGGGAGATGAGGAGAGAGAATCCCAGGCAGGCTCCTCGCTGTCAGTGTAGGGGAGTCGGGGGGAGTTCCATCTCATGACCCTGAGACCGTGACCTGAGCCAAAATCAAGAGCCAGATGCTCAACTGACTGAGCCCCCCCTAGGTGCCCCTAGGAATATTAACTTTGAAGTGGAGATGTAAATCACATCTGAAATTTGCAGGCATAAGAAGCACATTTGGAGGGAGATTCTATAGATCCAGGAAAGGGGGCAAGGGAAGGGTGCAAGGAGAGCTTTCTATGGAAAAATGGGGAAGAATAAGAAGATAAATTTATACAGGGCACCTGGTCTCAGTTGGTTAAGTGTTCGACTTTGGTTCAGGTCATGATCTCATGGCTCGTGACTTCAAGCCCCACATAGGGCTATGTACTGACAGCTCAGTACAAAGCCTGTCTTCAAATTCTTCAAATTCTATGTCTCACTCTTTCTCTCTCCCTCCCCTGCTTGCATTCTCTCTCTCTCTCTCTCAAAAACTAAATAAAACATAAAAAAATTTAAAGAAGATAAATTTATAGTTCAGAGGGATGGGGGTGAGAATTCTATGATCCCTCTGAGAAAGTGAAAATGTGAGAACTTGTGAGTCCAGCCAGCACCCAAATCCTTAATAGTATTAGAGATGCAAATCCTGTGGGTTGGCATGTCAGCACGTTGTCAATTAGTGGTTCTTAAGGGTTAGGGAATATAAGAATCATCTAGAGAATGGGTTTAAAATGTAGCAAGTGAGGCTTCACTCCTTGAGACTCCATTTCAGTAGATCCAGGCTCGGTGCGGGAACTCAGATATTGTCATTCAGATGATCCCTTCATTTTGACAAATATACTGTACTCTTTTGGAGTAAAGGAATCTGCAATTCTCCTATCCCTTTCCTTTGCTTTAAGAAAAATCCCCACTGGGGCACCTGGGTGGCTCAGTTGGTTAAGCGTCCAATTCTTGGTTTCAGCTCAGGTCATGATCTCATGGTTCATGGGATTGAGATTTGCATTGGGCTCTGTGACTACAGCTCATGGGGATTCTCTCTCCCTCTCTCTCTGCCCCTTCTCCAATCACACACTCTCTCTCAAAATAAATAAATAAACAGTTAAAAAATTTTTAATGTTTTATTTCTGAGAGAGAGAGACAGCGTGAGCAGAGGAGGGCCATAGAGAGAAGGAGGCACAGAATCTGAAACAGGCTCCAGGCTCTGAGCTGGCTGTCAGCACTGAGCCTGACGCAGGGCTCGAACCCACAAAAGGTGAGATCATGACCTGAGCCGAAGTCAGATGCTTAACCAACTGAGCCACCCAGGTGCCCCTAAACATTTTTTAAAATCCCAACTTCCACGAAAAGTGTCATTTTTCCTCTTAAAAGAAATAGCATTGAAATCACAGCAGCATTACTCACCACAAGTCCTTGATGCTTGATGCTTTTTTAGGGCTACTATGTTCCAAACATTGTAAACACTTAGTCTATGTTATAATATTAACTACTGTTTATTGAGTCTTTAGTAATTGCCAGGCACTCTTAACTAATTAAACACAGGATATCTAAAGAATGTCTATCCTTCCTACAAAGAAAATAGTATTCTCTATTTTTATAGCTAAGAATATTGTGGCTCACAAAAGTTCAGTGACCTGTCTGAGGTCACATGTTAGTAAGCAAAATATAGTCCCTGGATCCAAAGACTACTTTTTCCAGTCCTTTTATTTTTTTTTCTTAAATAGTTTATTGTCAAGTTGGTTTCCATATAACACCCAGTGCTCATCCCAACAAGTGCCCTTCCCCATGCCCATCTCCGCCCTTCCCCTCCCCTTCCCCCCCCCATCAGCCCTCAGTTTGGTCTCAACCAGCGCTTTGTTTTAAAATGAACAAATGAGTGGGAGATGAAAACATCTCCATGTGACAAATTCCTGCAAGTGTGTATAAGTGGCTAATGCTGTAGACAGAACTGTCATTTCTACTTAATCCCCATAGATAACACTGACACACTGAAAATAGCTTTAATCAGCCTTCAATATCTGTGTCCTCTCTTGTCTGCTGCTCAGCTGACTGACAAAAGATGATTCCGGGACTTTGTCCCAAGCCCTTGGGAAACAGAATTATGTACATTGTACCCCCTGTATGACGGAACAGTAGGGCAGTTAAAGTATTTGCCTAGAGGCCTCTGGTATTTACTATCCTTTGAGATTTTCAGCCCAAAGTAAGGGGATGTGCCTTCTGCCCTAAAATCACGTACCTGATAATGCAGAAGGGCAGCCCTGTGATTGGAAAGAACTCTACCTGATCTGAGCTAGAAAGAACTGGCTTTGACTCTCAGCTTGGGCTCTCGTTAGCTCTGCCTTGGGGCTAGCCGTCTGTCCCTTCTGAAACTTACTGTCCTCCTGTCCAGTCTTCTCACTTTTAATGTATGAATAAAAATGAATACTTTGCAAGATAAAAGAGAAATGTAAAAGCTTCTAACACATAGTACGTGTGCAGTAAGTTTTGTTTAACTGTGCTGTTTATAAATGAACTTTAACCCTAACTTTATGCAGCTTGAAAAATGGAAATTTCTCCAGTTTCACCCTGTTTGTAGATGAACTCAAATATGTGCTCAACACATTGGGCTTTGCTGAGTCATTCATACACACCGTCAAACTGTTCAGGGTGGTGATAGAGATAGATCAAAAGAAGCGAGCACCATGAATATTTCTTAAAGAAGCAAATGGCCTTTGGAAAAGCTGTTTCAACTGCCTAAAATGTAAAAGAAGTTTGCTTTGCTCATTACTGTAATAGAACTTTTAGACTACAGACTTCATGATCCCTCTTTTCTGACACTGTGTTAAGCACAGATCATGTGCCTAATCATAGAAACGGGTACATGTCTCATCCCAAGATTTTTATAGCTAGTCAAGCATTTCTTGATGTGTTCAATAGATACTTACCTAATGATGACAGTGGACCAGCTAGGAACTAAAATGTAGTTTTGAAATGAGACCCTCAGGGACTAAAAGTAACCTGAGAGAGACAAACAACAAACCGTAGCATGTAATAAGGGCTAATAGCCCATTAGGCGTGAGGCTCACAGAAGAGAATTATCTTGGGATAACCTCCAAGAGTTAATTAACACCTAATAGCAATCTTAACGATGACTTAGCCAGGAAAGGGAAGAGAGGAATGTTCAGACAAAGGGAATGGATGTGCAAGATCACAGCAGTGTAAGACAGCTTGGCATACTTGAAAACTACAAATAGTAAGAAATGTTGGGAAATAGGGGGTGGAGTGCAGCATGTTGGACAGATAAACAGAAGAGAACTACAGGTAGATAGAGTCAGCTAAGAAAAGTCTTTTGTGTCAAGATTTTTTAAAAGACATTCTATGCCGAGAACAAACTGAGGGCTGATGGGGGGGGGGGAGGGGGTGAAGAGCATGGAGGAGGGCACTTGTGGGGATGAGCACTGGGTGTTACGTGGAAACCAACTTGACAATAAACTATTTTTAAAAATAAATAAATAAAAGACATTCTAAAAGTAAGAAAATGATAAAACATGTCCAGGAGAATGCTAGGTAGCGTATTTTGAGGAAAGAGGCACAGAACCAGTTTAGTTTATTTGGTCCCTAACTCCTGGGGGCATTCTAGGCATTCAGGACAGGATTCTGGGTAGTAGGATCTCCAGGCGGTAACACATGCCATGGCCTGCTGAAGAAGGCTCTGGGATCCCATACAGGAATGACATGGATCATGTGCCCAAATGGCTGTGGGCAGGTGGGAATGGCAGAAAGAATTGTGTCCCCAGGGAAGTTAAAGGGACAGGTGAGGAAAAAAAAAATCATTAAGGTGATCAGTCCCCTTAACTATGAGCTAAAATGAAAGTGAAAGGTGTCACACGGGACCAAGCCACCCCAATATAGTTTGACAATTATTTCTCCAGTGTGGTCAATCAGAAATGAATAGATGGGGGATGGAACTTTGAAAATATCTAATGATGTGGCAGGATACCACCCAAGGGACAGGCCTGTGGAACAAGAGATGGGTTTTTTTTCTATGAATCTTGCTCTTTTAATTCTAAACAAGTAGAAATAGGAAGAAGTTGGATGAAAATAAAATTGCAAATCCAACCTTTACCTTCTCATAGGAGATTGCCTTCTAAACAAAGATTTCCCCAGTTTAATCTTCAGTGAGAGAATAAAGCTCATGGTTTGATAAACATGCAATGGGGGCTATCCCCTTGAGATGACTTCTAGAATGACTGAGAGCCTCAAATTAAAAGACCACAATGACAGCACTGCCATTTTATGACCATCTTCACACATCCCTGTCTGGGTCAATGGAGTAAAGACAGAAATGTGATTGGAAAAGCTGATCAAGTTGGAGGACCTTGGGGCTCTTTTCTTAGAACCATGGCTTAGGACATGAATATATATATATATATATGGATAATTTCTTATGCCTATAAAGCCAACTTCCTAGGGAGAGAAGTTGGCAAATATGGTGTTGGGATTGTCATCAACTGATAAAAGCAACTGTATTTCCTCAATGTAAGGTTGTTGTTAGGGGCCACCTGGTGGCTTAATTGGATAAACACCCAACTCTTAATTTCAGCTCAGGTCGTGATCTCACAGTTCATGGGATTGAACCCCGTGTCGGGCTCTGCACTGACAGTGGGAAGCTTGCTTGTGATTCTCTCTCCCTCCCCTGCTTGCACTCTCTCTCTGTCTCTCAAAATAAACAAATAAACAAACAACAAAAAGAAAATTGTTAGATAAAAAGGAGATGTTCCATAAGATGTCCAATTTAGAGGTGAGTTTAAGGAAGACTGGAAGAAAAGCCTAAGCCAGCGCTTCGAAATTCTTTTTAAAAATCACCTGGATGGTTGGCCCTGTAATGTGAGCAGCTCAACTTTAAGAGGCCCTTGAATTGACAGCCTGGGTCCTACGGCAAGAAGAGACCCCCATGCATCAGAGAGCTACTCCAAGGGCGAGATGGGAATGGGGGAGAACCCACCTTGCTGCTATGGGTAAGGACGGCCAGGTGTTCTGAGGCCCAAAGTCCAATTCCTGTGTAAGCACAGACATGGTTCAGACAATTATTGGTGGCAAGAAGTCCCTTCCAGTGAGTGAGGAGGCGTGACAGTGAGGAAAGCCAGAGATGGTCCAACTTGGAAGTCAGGTGCAGTCAGAGCCTTGAGATCTGCCCTTATGAGGCATAACTTCTGCCAGTGGTTGGGGACGTACTTTACGCTTCAATATCCTGGAATTACCACGCTGTCTGGCCTTTGAGTCTCTATTCATGCTGTTCCCTCCACCTGAAATCCCTTCCAGCAACAACCACCCTATCCTTCTTTTCGAAAGGAACTTATAATGCCAATATAACCCCTGTTTCTTATAACTCCAACTAAATCATATGCTCCTTGAGAAGGAAGCTTACCTGACTTATTAGCCATTTTATTCCAAATGTCCAGTATCATGTCCACCACATCATCAGTTCACATAGGTGCTCGTTGAATGAATGAACTAAAGAGAAAGAAGCTAGGGTTGGATCAAGCCCACTGGCTGGAACTTTAGCTAATGAATAGGATTTAATGTTCTGGTTCCAGAGAACTAGAATCGTATTTGAGTGGGTAGAGCCAACACTGAGGTAGTTCTGGGATGATCTGGGGTACCTGAGGTCTCGGGGAAAGTTATACATGAAAGGAGACTTACAAGTCAGACTAGAATTTAGCCATACTGACTAGAACTGCTGAACGTGGAGGAAATGAGACATATTTGCTAATGGATGTCCTACCTCTGCAAAGGTGATCCATAATGTGGTCTGCAAATGGGTCCTATCGGTATAGCCAATCACAGCAAGTTAGGAAAAGAAGGGCAGAAGAAGGGCAGCTGAGGGTTGACAAGCAGAGAAATTACACAGAGAATTACAGCTGTTCCCTTTATCCAATTGGCCTGAGGTTTTAGGATGCTAAAGATTGTGAGGGTAAAAACTTCCAATCGAATCGTTTGGAGATCTATAACAAAGCATGATTTGTTTGCAGTCTGAACAGAGATGGAGAGGAGACTTGTCACCCTAGCTTCACCACTTACATCTGCAATCCTCAGCTTCCACATTGTCTAAATGGGACGATGTATGGAAAGTGCCTAGTACGGAGCTTCATATACAGCATATTCAAGAAATGGCACCTGTCATAAATGCTGGCGCCAGTCCTGACTTAGGTAAAGGGACTGTTGTCACTCATGTTGTCCATTTCCCTCTCCACCAGTATACACACACCTTCTCAAACACATACACAAATAGCAGTAGATTCTCTGGGGTCTTCTTACAGTAGGGGAAAGACTAACAACCCTGAGAGCCCCAAAGCCACGTGTCTACCAGGAGATGCACAGCACACTGAATCATTAACAACTGCCCATCCGTATGTGTAGTCTGACTCTGACACCCCTTCCCAACTTTTCCTGGGAACCCCTCAAAATAACAATTTTTCCCTTAACTATATCTGGTTCTTAGTCAGTTGCACATAAGAATCAACTGAAATTCTCCTGAAGAAGAATAATGCTCAAGTTCACCACCAGACCAATTAGGTTAGAAATTTCCAGGAAGAGGGTTCAGCTTGGGTGGTTTTCTAAAGATCCCAGGTGATTCTAACGTGCTAACTCATGTGTAGACCCTGGACCATAGCATGAGCATCACATAGAGGCTTATTTAAAATGCAGAATCTCAGGTCCCAGTCCAGACTAAATCAGAATTGGAAGGAATCAGAATCTTCATTCCCAGTGATTAGTAATCACATCAAAGTTTGAGAAGTACTAGTGGGCATCACAGAGTCCCAGCTCTGGCCACACAACCTAATCATCTAGAGGAATTTTGGAAAATGCAAGTGCTTGGGCTCCACTCTCTGAGATTTTTAAAAATTTATTTATATATTCTTGAGAGACAGAGAGAAAGAGAGTGCACATCAGAGAGGGGTAGAGAGAAGGAGAGAGAGAATCCCAAGCAAGCTCGGCACTGTCAGCACAGAGGCTGACATGGGGCTGTAACTCACGGAGAGTGAGATCATGACCTGAGCAGAAATCTAGAGTTGGACGCTTAACCACTGGGCCACACAGGCCACTCAGACTTTTATTTAATTGGTCTGAAGAGGACCTCACATAAATATCTTGAAAAATCTCCCCTGGGCATATAAACTGTGCGGCCAGGGCTGAGAACCACAGTGCTGGGTAGGTGTTGCCTCAGTGATGGGCTGAATTCTCGGCCTTGAGCACCTTCACGAGGGAGCTGTGAGATACAAGGCTCATCAGCATTCCTTTTCTCCATGGCCACCTCAGAATTGGCCAAGGAACAAACGTAGTCTCTCTAGGATGGGGCCGTCTAGCAACATGTTTAACAAATGTCTATTTCATAAACTCATATGTCAATTTGTATTTTCAATTTTCCCTCTTGTTACAGCTCCAGTGTATGAATGACTAGCTCTCTGTGCATGACAACAAGCAAACGGGAATATGCTTCTCTTAGAGATGTGCTTCATGTTCTAGTTTTACTCAGTGGCGAATAATTTTATGTTAAAACTAACAAGGGGATGTTACAAGGCACAGTATATATTGTTTGTGAATTTTAAAGACATAACACAAGACTTCAAAGAAATTCTGTGCTTTAAGTGGACACTTCAGGCCATGCCCCAGACCTCTGAGTGGAATTTAATCTCTCTCTGCCTTTGTGACCAGTTTAGAGAAAAAGTTGGAGGAATACCAAATCTACAGAATTCTCTGAAATGTGACAAATCCTAATTGACTTGGTTTCAAATCCTCAGCAGTTAGAGCATCTGGGTTTATCTCAAATGCTAGAGATACTGTAACATATGTCACTTCTATCCCAGCCAAGGGTCAAATGCGGTATCACAAACAGAAGCTAAAATAAATTCCCAAAGTCATTTTTTGGCTGAGTTAACTTTATTCACATGATAGCTATAGGGGTTGACAATGACTTCCTCTAACATTTCTTCCGGTGAGTTGATTTAGAGTTTGGTTGCAGACAGTGTGGGTTGAAGGGATGTGTGGGTTAAGATAGATCAGGGGCTTGTTACAATTCTACATCATCATGAATCATTTAATTTTAACCTTGTGGCTTGTCTAACACATCTGCAGGAAGAGTTGAGGAATAAATCTAATGCTCACTGGAAAATACTTAGCAGCCCTTGAGAACAGCATCTTTAGAGTACCCACAATTGATCCTAACACTGGAGGCACCTCAGATATGGTGAGGGTGGGTCAGAAGTGCCTTGGAGCGCCAAGAAAGGCATCCCGTGACAGCAGTGGGAGCTCAGGGCACGCATCAGGCAGCTCTGGAGAGATGCAGCCAATCTCAGGAGCATGACATGGCTTCTCAGTACTGATAGGACCTCACAAGGAGCCACATGAGAATAACAGTAATCAGGACAATGGTGAAGTTGAGGAACAGCTCCCGCGTGGATATCCCCATTCTTGGAGTTGGCTCGGCGAGAACTGAAGGCAGACTCCTGAGGGTGCACCAGAGACCTCGTGCTTGTCCTCACCTAACAGGAAGTTACAGAGAGAACATGGGAAGATAAATGAGCATGCTTTCCTCATTGTGGAAGAGGAGACTGTGAGAGGCCGAACCGTGACCCCAACAAAATCTCTGTGTTGGAATCCTGACACCCAGTGTCTCAGTGTGTGACTGTATTTGGAGACAGGGTCCTTCAAAAGGTAATTCAGTTTAAAGGAGGCCACCAAGATGGACCTTAACCCATTATGACTGGGGTTCTTCTAGAAAAGGAGATGAGGACGCAGACATATACAAAGGAAGACCACGTGAAGGCAGGGAAGGCAGTCACGTACCAGCCACGGAGAGAGGCCTCAGAAGAAATCAACCTTGCCAAGACCTTCATCTTAAATCTCTAGCTTCCAGACTATCTTTGGACTAGAGCCTCAGCTCTTCCTGGCTCTCCAGCCTGCTGACCTCTCCTGTAGACTTTGGACTTGTTGGCCTCCATAATCACATAAGCCAATTTTATTTATATGTCTATCTATATCCATCTCAGTATCAACATATGGATGTAGGTCTCTCTCACACACACACACACACACACACACACACACACACACACACACTATTGGTTCTGTTTCTCTGAAGAACCCTGACTAATAAGGAGAACCTGGCTCTTCTACCTAATGTGAAAAAATCCAATAAAGTCTTGTTGTTGTTTTTTTCCTGTGATAAACATACAGACGCTTTGGATAAAACACAAAATATTCTATTTTCTCTCTTCAATGTGTGTGTGTGTGTGTGTGTGTGTGTGTGTGTGTGTGTGCTTGCTTTTCTAACTTAGAATACCGGCAAGCAAGGTCACCAAAACAAAATAAAACTCCCAAATGTGGTATGGTTTAGTGTCTGTTCTTGCACTGAATTGCATGTAGAAGGAGAACGCCATAATCTCTCAAGCTTCAGGCTGTCATAGGTCTTCGCCTAGCCCTGTGAAAGCATGAAGCATGTGTAGCAGCTGCTTGGCGTCTTGTAAGCCCTGCATTGGGCATGCAGCCCACTGGGGTCAACCAGAAGTCCCTTGCATAGCAGACATTCAGTCAAAAGAGCAAGTGTTAAACTCATGGGTACTTCTATTTCAAAAAGGGCTTGTGCCAGCTATTTTTAGTCAAGTGCAGGATGTGCTTATATTGTAAACACTTCAAAGAGCAGGGATGGTATCTTTATAGTTTGTACAGATAGTGCATGCAGGAAATCATACTTTGGTAACACATGCAACGTAGTCAATCAGATTATGACCTTCGTGAGGGGCATAATTGGCACTTTGTGTGTACAAACCAAATGAAATTAAAGATAAAATTTTAGATATCTAGATACTAAAATTTTTGATACTCTGAAGTGAAAAAGTTTAGGAAGAGGGAGTGTTTCGTTTATTGTTAAGGGTGGAAGTTCAGGGCATAGGAAGGGTTGTTAGCAAGTTTTGACCCTGAATGACATTCTTTTTTTTTTTTTTTTACTTTTT